TGGCAAAACTGAAAACTTCCCTTCCTCAGAAAAGTCCAATTTTTAAATGAAAGAGTTAATGTTGCAGAAAAAGCAGAACCAATATTAACTAAGCCTGGAAACTGTTGTGAACATGAGAACTGTCAGTTCTCAAAGTATGCAAAAGGCTTTGTTCTCATCCAGACTCCAAATTTCACATGATAAATGACGGAAGAATATAAATGTTAAAGTGTTCACTTCCAAATGAAGTTCTCCAGTCTCATCTAAATAAAACTGCTATAATTTTCCATCAAAATGTTGTCAGAATTGCTACACCCTTACAAAATAGTTGATTCATAACATCTACTTTTTTTTTTTTTTTTTTTTTTTTTTTTTTTTTTTTTTTTTTTTTTTTTTTTTTTTTTTTTTTTTTTTTTTTTTGTTTTCTTTTTGCTGGGTTTTTTGGTTTTTTTTGTTTCTTTGTAGGGTTTTTTTTTTTGGTGGAGTTGGTTTATCTCCTTCCTGAAGGAGCCCTTCTGCCCCACATGTCTTATTGATGTCATTTTTATGACATTTTTANTTTTTTTTTCTTTTCTGCTGGGAAACCTGGATCTCCTCTCTGTGGAAGAGAGGCCCTACAGAATTTAAGGAGCTTAAAATAACCCACCTTGTGTGTGTGCACTGTGCATGAAGTACAGAGAGCTCCTGCAGCACAGGACAATCTTTTTAGGGGGAAGATCCTCAGGACACAACAAGATCTTTGAAGGTCCCTTCCATCCCAAAACAAGAGGTTTTGAGGGACAAAAAAAGAAATGTTGTGAGTTTAGAGAGGAGCTTTAAACCCATGGGTAAGAAGCACACCAGGAAAGGTGGTTCCCATTCTTGCAAACTGGAGATAACACTGAACAAAGCCTCTTGCAATGTCTTGGGATATAAATCCTGGAATCATCAAGGTTGGAAAATATCTCTGAGATCATCAAGCCCAACCATCAACCCAGCACCCAAGTGCCACATCCACGTATTTCTTGAACACTTTCCAGGGATGGCAACTCCACTGATTCCTTGGGCAGACTGTTCCAATGCTTGACAACCCCTTTCCTTGAAAACTTTTTTCCCTAATATCCAATCTAAACCCCCACTGGCATCACTTGAGGTCATTTTCTCTCATCTCACAGATCAGTTCACTGCCTGGCCAGCACTCACCCCACAAAACTCAACAGCTGCTGGTTTTGCCTGTCAGAAAACACCAACAAGGAGGAGAGATGTTCCAAAAATTCAGCGCAGACATAATAAACTCAGCACCCCTACAAATTCTTGCCACCAACTCTGAATCTTTATCGAGTCTAGGAATGAGAGGAGAGCTCAGATGCCTCTCTCTCATCAGTTTTCTGCAGGCAGGACCAGTAAGGAGGGGGAGAGACAAGAGAGATGTATTTGTCAAGTTTTACTCCAGCCCTAAGGGCTGCACAAATCACAGATCCATCAGTTTGGATTGGAAGAGACTTCAAAGATCATCCAATTCCAACCCCGTGCCATGGACAGAGACACCTTCCAGCAGACCAGCTTTCCCCAAACCCCATCCAAGCTGCGCTTAACCACGCTTTAAAGCTTGATTGACTGTACAAAGGCCAAGCACAAGGTGGAAAGCAGCAAAGACAACATGAGCCAAACTCAGGTGAGACAACCATAGAGGGAAAGGCTTTGCTGCTCATCCTCAGGCTCCTGTTCTACTCCAAAAATTGCCAAAATATAATGAAAAAAACACCACCACAAGCCTCACACGCAGCTCTGTGGTTTCCTTTTGCCCTCACTCTCTGTTAGCACAGCTACTGTGCAGGTGTAGCAACACAGGCATTGCCCTTCCAAGACAGGCAGGGTATAAAGCTAAACCAAAAAGACAGTCCCAAAATGCTGTGTTCCTTAATTTAAGAGGTTTTAATCTTTCACGATGGTCAAACAGCAGTTGTGCCAAAGCAGGGCATGAGGCTGCCTCTGTCGAGTGGAGGTAGCAGGGGAAATCAAGCACAAATCTGAACTCCAGCTTTTGAGCTGGATCCAAACAGCTCCATCACAGTTTAGGGATGTCTGCCTCCCAAATTGACTCAAAACATAGCACTTTCAGCCTCCAGCTTCACTGAAATCAAGGAAAACTGCTCCCTTTCCCCACTACAGGAGCAACTCTCAGGTCCCAGCCCAGGCAAACTGTCCTTGGCCAGTCCGAATCAGCAGCAACACTCGTCCCAAAAGTCTTTTTTCACTGCAAAGGAGCTGTGCCCATACCAGGGTTACAAATATTTCAAGCTGCCAGGGCCAAAGGCTCCAGAAGGGAGATTTATAGCAATAAATAATATTAATGACACAGGCGGACGGAGCTTCTTGTCCTGAGAGCTCCAAAGGCACATGAAAAACTGCACCATAAATGTCACCACCGCAGACACCAACGATGACGAGATGCCACCTCTGGGGACAGGAGGCAACGTGGGCTTGTTCAAAATGAGATTTGGGGAGGAAAGCGAGGGAATGAGGAGCTGGATGAGCACAGCCATGCTGGCTCACAGGGCAGGCACAGGCAGGAGACGGGTCCCAGCTGGTTCAGCCAGGGTGGTGGCTGAACCATCATCATCAAACCCTTGGACTGGTTCAGTCAGGAGGTTCTGGAGATATCCAAGCTCCAGTTCTGCCCCAAGCCCAGCCAAAGGACTCATCCTGATGCTCATGAGTGGACTCAAGCCTGGGAAAAAATGAGCTGGGAAACCATAACCCAACCAGCAACCAGAGGAGTTGGAAGGAGGGCAAAAGAAGCAATTTTAGGCCTAAACCCCAAAGGAGCACAGCGAGTTTAGTTGCAGATATAATAAAACATGTCTGGGCGAAGGAAGCTGTATCCTCCCGCAGCCAAGCCCACTCTCAAATGCAAAAATACTTGCAGGGATGGTAAAGGACTGACACCCTCCTGTGTTATCCGGATAACACAAACACCTGGAGCTGATGGAGCAGCAGCATCTGGCCACATCAAATTAACCATTTTTTCCCCAGGCTGCTTAATTAAATAATCCCAAGTAGTGTGTGATCATAAAATCTACATAAGTGAAACTTCTGCTTTAGCCAAGGCAAAGATTCCCTTTGCTTTTCCCACACTGCCTGATCCTCTGCCCACTTCCAGAAGATGGATCAGCAGAGGACCTTCACCAGCAGCTCAGCTGCACATCTGGGCTGGCTTCATTTCAGGCTTTGCCTTAGAAACCTCCCTGCAGCAGAAATCCAAATTTATTTTCCCCAGCCATACAACGCCCCAGAACTTTGTCAGGATATCTTGGAGTCCTTCCCACGCAGGGCAAGGCTCACTCATCGATCACAACCTCTGGAGCCAGACCCTGATGCTGCTGGAGCTTGGGGTGAAGGGTGAAGCCCGGCTGCTGGCAGCACACAGCCCTGCAAGCTCCCAGGGCAGGTGACAAATCCCACCTGGCTCACCTGAGATCACCCTGTCCACCCCGAGAAGGCTGGAAACACTCCTGGAGAGCACCAGCCCAGCAGCTGCTTCCCTGCCTGCTTGGTTTATGGTGGCAGGACAAGGAAACAACAACCCATGGAAGAAGACTGGGTGCAGGGATGCAGCCAGCTGCTTCCAGAGCCCTTCCAAGCGGGAACACGCTCCCAGTCGTACCTCTGAGCATCCTTCAGTCAGAATATCTCTACCTGAGCCCACAGAGTTGGTGCCTCTGTCCAAAGGACCTCAAAAGCTGCTCTGCCCAAGAGCCCAGAGCCCGTTTCCCAGCCCTGTGGTGGCTGGGCCTGCTCGGGGCCCAGGCAAACACAACCAACACTGTGTCTTTAAAACCACTTCAGTGCAGATGTTGTTTCCATGGTAACTAGTGGACCAAATACATTAGTGTTTCTAATAATAAACCAAACCTTCATCTTGGAAAATGTGATCCCCCCTCTCCCTTTACCACGCTCACCCTTCCTTTCTTCCTTTCCCCTCCCCTTCTGCCGAATTAAGCCAGCATTTAACAAGCAAGCCATAATTAGTAAATAATTGCAAGGGCCCAGTAACTCCCAGTGCCCAGGCAGATGGAGAAGCTTTAGGTGGAGGAGGGGGGTGGCTTCACTCTGTGAACCTGGGAACTGTCCAAAAAGGGATGAACTACTTAAAAAAAA